CTTTTCCCTTTAAAAACTGAGCTTGCAGATAGGTGGGCACTTCCTCCAGCCTCCACTGCGTTGGATGTATTGGACGAAGTCCCTGCCTAGGCTTAGAATACTTTTGGATATCCAGAATTAAACCTTGCTTTTGCATTCCGGCATGCTCGTCTTTGGTGGTCTCTCTGGGGGTTACGATCTGGGCACAACACTGTGACCATGTTGATGTCTGAGGGATGTGCTGTCACAGGGGCCATGTCGATCTCAGAGGCCTGCACTCCCACCCAGGATCACGGTGCCATGTTAGTCCAGGAGTCCTGCAATGTCAACCATGACCATGGAGGCACCCAGGCCCAGATTGCTGCTTGGAGCCATGTCTGGGTCTGTCCCCCTGCTGCTTTAGTCAGGCTCTGAGTCCATGGCTTCTGTTGCCCCTGAGGGCCTGCAGAGGCCCACAGTCAGGGCTGACACCTGAGGCCTTGAGGTCTTTAAGGGTCAAGCTGCAGCCAGAGCCATACAGACCTGGATGGCCTATGCTGCCACCTGGAAACATGGTATCATCCGTATCTGAACTGCGGCCTTGGGTTATGTCTGGATCTACCGCAGCCAGAGTCTGTGTTGATGTCCATGGCTCCTGATACCATCAAAGGCCGAGCATATACCTGGGGTCTGGGCTGCCACCTGGGGACATGTTGGCCTTTGAGGTCTCCACCACCGGGGCCATTCTGGTCTGGGCAATTTGGGCAATACCAGCTAGGGTCACAACGACATCTGGGCCCCGGGCTGTTGTCAAGTGTCCTGCCACAGCTGTATCTGTGTTGAGGGCTGTGTGGCTCATTACCACTGAAAGCCGCGAGGCTAGCCATACACAGAGTTGGTCCTGCCCCTCACTGGCTTCAGCATTGGGGAGAATGGGCCCTGCACCTTCCCAGGGAAGCACAGTAGAGCTATCCTTGCTGGCAGGGCTGTAGGTGAGCCAGCTCTGAAGTCATGAGAGTGGCAGAGCTATACCCCCGTGGTCAGTCACGCAGTGGCACGGGAGAAGGAAAGATATGCCTCCTTGCCTCTCTCACCACCTACTGCAGGCAGGAAAAGCCGGTCCCAGGGTCACACGGGATGGATAGCTGCCGGCCCTGAAGTCATGAGAGTGGGAGAGCTGGTACTGCCCCAGCAGCAGCAGCAGCAAGCACATGGGAGAGCAGGTCCCACACCGCGCCCAAGCAGCGCAATAGAGCTGATCTTGTTGGCAGGGGCACAGGTGAGCTCGCCCAGGAGGGCACAAGAACAGACAGACTGACCCCGCCCCCCTTTGTCTGCCATATGGTGGCCTGGGTGAGAAAAAAAAAAAAGCAAAAACACAACTTCTCCTCACTGTTCTTTGCCAGCTGTGGTGTTATACCCAGATCACAGGGACCCCCGAAAGACCACCAGGGAGACTGATTCCCATATGTAAAAGCAAAGAGCCTTTAATTTCAAGCTCTGGCCTTGGTTTCTCTGTCTGTCCGATGTATTACTGAAAGCAGAGAGCCCTGAGCTCAGGTGGGCTGGGGGTTTTATCGTAGCAGAGGTTGGGGTGAGGGGATTTCCAGGGTTCAGGAACCTGAGTGGCTGACATTTGTCTAAAGGTATAGGAAATGTTTGGGATGTCAGGTAATTCCCCTTAGATGCAGGCCCCACTGGGTAGAGTCAGCTTATGGATTTTCCTGGGTCCAGGTGTTGCCTGCCAGAAGCTGTGCCTGGGCCTCTAAGCCTGTCATGGCAGTTGTGTGGTCAAGCTGTTTTGGGGTCCCCCACAGTGGCAGGAGAGAGAGTGGCTCCAGGATCACCAGAGTGGGAGAGCCGGCCTTGCCCTCAACAGGTGCAGCACATGTGAGAGCAGACCTTGCCTGGGCAGCACACTGGAGCTGACCTTTTTGATCGGGGCACAGGTGAGCTGGGCATGTGGGCATGAGAGCAGGAGTGCTGCCCCTGACCCCTCCTTCATATACCATGGGGTGGCAAAGATAAAAAAAATATATGCCCTCCCCCTCATACCCTCATACCCGTCGCCACCAGCAGCAGGCAGGAGAGCTGGCCTTGGGTGCATGAGAATGGAAAAGCCAGTCCTGCCACTCACCAAGTACAGCAACCTGGAGAATGGGCCCTGTACCTCACCTGGGCAAAACAGCAGAGCTGGCCCTGGTGGGATGAGTGCCAGTGAGCCAGACCCAATGGCCTGGGGGCAGGAGTACTGGCCCCTCTCCTCTCTGTCTGCTAGGTTGGATGAGCTAGCTGGGGCAATGCTGAAGAGCTTGTCTTGCTGGTGATGAGGAAAACGTAGTGGGCTGACCAATCCAGCCCCCCCTCTCCCCCCGGCCCCAAACCAGGACTATTAGGTAGCCCACCTCAACATCCATGTCATCTATGAACTTCTGGAGCATGTGAAGAGGCCGGTCCTGCAGATAGATCCAAAGATACAGGATCTCCTTGACACAAGGCAACAACAGGATATGCCAGAGGAGTCCCAGTGAGGGTCCAGTATTGATAGTGGAGCAGAAGCCAGAGGCCTGGAACCAGACCAATGACTCTTTGCAACTGATGCTTACAAGTAAAGATGTATGGATCAAAGGGTAAACTGTGTTACTCACTGTGTCACACTATAACTTCCACAGTGAGATTTGTTTATTTGTAGGGTTGTTTTGTTGTTGTTGTTTTTGTGTTTTACTGTTAAATTTTGTTTTCAGGGAGGGAGGTGTCAAGGGCAGAAAGCAGAAGCAAGAGGACTGGCAGACGAGTGGGATCGGGATTTGGGATGTGAAATCCACAAAGAATCAATGAAAAGTTTAAACAAAGCGAGTTATGCTGGTCTATGATAGTGGTAGTAGTAGACTCTACTAACATCCATGACCACACTACCCCTAGGGAGTTGGCTAGGTTTCTAGTGCCAGTCATGATTTCTCTCATATTGAGTAGGCCCTAAGTCCAATTTGACAGCTTTTGTTTACTGTCAAAACGTGAGTGCCACTATTTCAGGTTCATGGCTACCTTGAAATGCTGATAATTGTTGTGGTTCACAAGCATCACACCTGGATAGGACTATTGATTGCTTTCCTCTCTTGGTAGCTTGCACATAACATTTTAGTAGTTAGTCCACAGGAAGGAGGCTTCTGGGTTACATTTAGTTTTAGTTAACCAAATCTTGTGCACTAAATATGCAATGCCATCAGTAATAAGTTTCATTTAACCACTGATAAGTAACCAATGGGAACTGCAATAGCCTATATTGATTTAAAGAAAATATCATATTATTGGACCAGCCACCCTTCAGAATGAGCAAATTGGAGGCAAAATAAAATTGAAAAAAACATTTTGCCTTTGGTATTATCTATTTCATTTATTATCAGGTACTTTCTTTTTTAATGCTTGATGATTTCACTTCAATAGAATTTGAAGCCTAATAACTTTTATGTGTTACATAAGGTAGTCTTATGATTTTTTCCTCTGATACTGACCTAAAATAAAATGCACTCAATTTGTCCAAATGTAGGGTAACATCATTTTAGGAGTTCTTGTTTGTACTTTTTATGCGTGTGTGTGTGTGTGTGTGTGTGTGTGTGTGTGTGTGTGTGTGTGTACATGCCACATATATACACTGTCGATAGTTGCCAGGCGATGGTGTTAAATCCCCTAGAGCTGGAGGTAGAGGCATTTATGACTTGCCCAGCTTAGGTACTTCCAAACTCAGGTCCTCTGCAAAAGCAGCAAGTACTCTTAACTTCTGATCTATCTCACCAGCTCAAATGTACAGTATTCTTGTGTAGCTATCAAAAATCTTGAACTCTATAGAGTTGTCTTAGTTTGCTAGGGCTAACAAGACAAATCACAGGTCAGATAGATTTATTTTCTTGTAGCTTTGGAGGACAGAAGATGAAAACCAAAAGCTCCCCAACTGGACTTCTGGTATCTCTACTTGATTTGCAGACAGCTTTCATCTTGTTTTTTTCCTCATGTGATACTTTTCTCTTCTCATGTACCTTCTCTGTGGTACCTTTTGTTTCTTATTTAAATACATATCATGAAAGATAAAGGATCCACACCCATGATGTCAACCTTCTTATTTAGCATTAATCACCTTTGAAAAAAAAAAGCCATCTTTCTACATATGGTCACATTCTGAAATAAACAAGTTTGGTCTGACCCATGTGAATTTCAAGGAGATATAATTCATTCAATAACAATAGCTATCTCAATGTGGTGCAGGAACTACAACTTATAAGAGAAATAATTTATCTTGGTTTCATAAAAATAAAGGCAAATATCATACAAAGAAGGATTCCTTGGTTTTTGGAGAAAGAGCTCATGGGCAAGGACACTTGCAGACAAAGCCAGATGACCTAGCTATCCCTAAGACCCACAAATTAGGAGATTTGATTCTGTCAATTTGCCCTGACTTCCACACATGAACAGCGACACAGTGACATGTCCTCCCCTACACACACACACACACACACACACACACACACACACACACACACACACACAAATTGATGTAAAAGAGAGAGAAGCATTGCATAGAAGGTAAAATTGATAGAGAAATAATCATAATATTTAAAACTTTAAATCCAAAA